AGCCTTCTGGTTAGCAGTCAAGTGCCTTAGGCATTATGCTACCTGAGCTCCTGTATTTCACTGTACATAAATTATATTTCAATAAAATTTATTTTTAAAAATACAGTGGAGAGCAGTACACCACAGCGGCCACAAGGTGTCGCTTTCTGCCAACCTCTTACTTTCTAGTAAGTGAGCCGGAAATAGAAGCTGGGAGAAGGTGGGGAGAAGTGTTGAGTGTGTTTTGATGATAATAACCTGAAGTGCAGCTTTAGGATGTACAGCAATTGCTGCATCTAAATCAACAAGGACTCCCTTCTAACATCCCTAAAGTGAAATTTTATATTCCTTTTATTTTTTCCTCTTCATTTGTTTTCCCCTTGGAGCAACCCTAAATACATCAGTATTAGTGCAGATATAGGACAAGAAAAGACCTCATTCCTGTGGAGTCTGACTCACGGGGACCCTATGGGACAGAGGAGAGCTGTCTGGTAGGGTTTCCAGGGCTGTGAATTTGATGGGAGCAAACTACCATTTATTCTTCCCCAGGAGCGGGGACCTCTGGTGGCGGAGTCCTTGAGGCATTTCACTGACCAGGAGGCTGGTGGGAACCACCCGCCACTTCTCGGAAGGACGATTGGGCAAGTACTTCCATAGGGATACTGCTTTGGAAACCCAAGGAGGGGTCGCTGGTGGGCCCACACTGCTAGCAGCTGAGCAATTTAACCACTGCACCACAAGACCTCCTTAGGTATAGTATATAATTATTTACCAAATGCTGGGATCAATTTGCTGATGTTTTATTTAGGTTTTTAGTATCCAGTTAATATTATAGCATTTACCTGTCTACTTCTGTAGTGATACTGCCTCGGAAACCCAAGGAGGGGTCCCTATGAGTCAGTCTGACTCGATGGCAAATAACAACAAACAGCAGAAGGTAAGGAGGAGCTTTGGTAGCATAATGCCTAAGGCATTTGACTGCTAACCAGAAGGCTGGCGGTTCAAACCCACCAGCCACTCCTCGGATGGAAGGTTGGTCAATTTACTTCCATAGTGATACCACCTTGGAAACCCAAGGAGAGGTCGCTATGAGTTGTTGTTATGAGCACGTAACAACAACAATAGGAGGTAGGACTTATCTGTAAAAGTATTTGGGCCCAGGATGTTTACTGAGATGGTTTTGGACAGCTTCCTCATTTTATGGTTACTGTTTTGTATATAAGAAGCTCTGGTGGTGTAATGGTTGACATTTGGCTGCTAACCAAAAGGTTGGTGGTTTGAACCACCAGCTACTCCATGGGAGAGAGATAAGGCAGTCTGCTTCTGTGAGGATTTACAGCCTTGGAAACCCTGTGGGACAGTTCTACTTTGTCCTAGGCCTATGGTGTTTCTATGAGTTGGAATTGACTCAACAGCAATGGGTTTGGTTTGGGTTTTTTTTTTTTGCTTTTGTGTGTAATAGGTTTTATTATATGTAACCCCACCCCACCCCCACCCCCAAAAAGTGTACGGGTATTATTTGGAAGACAATAATGTTTATTTTATAATTTATATTTTCCTAGCAAATTCCTTGATATTTTCAAACTCATCAGCAACGAGCCGGAGTAGTGTCCTCCAGTGGTTTCCCTCCTAACGGTCTTGTTCTCAGCCCATGGTCACACCTGCGTGCAGTTTCTGCATGTTGTTGTTATTCCTGCCTAGATTTGCCAGAGGTTCATTTTACAGACCTTTCCAAAGTCTCTGCTCTTTATTTCTGAGGTGTATGAAATATCTGTTACCCGCCTCATTTTTCCAACTTTTATCTTTGTTAATTCCCTCCTCATGCTTTTCTAGAGTCTCCTCACCCAGTATTTTGAGTTGAAAGCTTATTTTTCTTAGCAAATAATACAAGCCATTTTAAGATACTCTCTTTAAAGATATCCCATACTAAAAAAAAAAAAAAAAAAAAAGGCGGGGGGACCAGGTTTGCTGGTCCAATAGAGCCTGGTGGAACCACTGAGACTATGGCCCCGAGCTGCCCCTCAGGTCTGGAATTGAACCCACTCCTGTGGCTTCCAGCCAAGCAAAAGACAGGTATATGAGCTGAACATTTACATTAGGTAAATACACTCCGTGGAGAAACCAATCATGGGAGAAAGAGGGGCTGTTTATGCACAGGGAGACAGTTCAGGGGTCAGGAGGGTATGGGAGGGAACGAGACAGGGAAGGGGTAACAATGAGGAAGAAGTGGGAGAGGAGCTATTACATTGTGGGAAACTGCAGTCAATGCCATGAGACAAAGTGTATGTGAACTGCTGTATGGGAAGTGAATTTGCTCTGTAAACTTTCACCCAAATCACAATTAAAAAATTGAAAAGTAAAGATATCCCATAATAGCACACATTTCCTAATTGCCCTGCGGCAGGTACTATGGTAAGTGCCTACCAAGCATCATTGAAGCCTCATTGCAAGCCTGTGGACAGGTGATATCTTTGTCACCCTTTCACAGATGAGAAAGCTGAGGTGCAGAGAAGTTAAATAGCTCAGCCAAGGTTAATCGTCACTGGTACAGAATTTAAATACTGAAGCCTCTGTGGCGCCGTGAGTGGCACTCAACACTGAATTGTGATCAGTTGTTTTCATGGTCTGCCAGCCTCGCCCACCAAGTAGTAATAGGTAGCTTCTGTTTCCCTTTTTATCCAGTAGTTACTTACGAAAATTCTGGATTTTAGCTCCCAAGAGATTAGATTATTTGGTTATTGTTAACATTTTGGTATTATTTTCAACATTTTCATGCATTGTGGTTAGAGCACTTGCTTGCACAAACTTTTAGAAACCAAAAATTCAGCATGAAGCATAATACAAGAAAAATCGTGTATTCTCTACTCAACCCAACCTTACTATACCAAACCCAACCTTACTACACCAAACCCAACCTTACTATACCAAACCCAACCTTACTACACCAAACCTATTGCCACTGAATCTGACTCATAGCGACACTCATTGGGTTTCCAAGGCTGTAAATCTTTACGGAAGCAGACTGCCTCAAGTTCCCACCAAGGACTAGCTGGGGGGTTCCAGCCTTACTATAGTATTCTGATCTGTAATTATTTATCTATCTCATACATTTTAGAAAGACCAGAAATGGTGTGTTACAATCTCCCGTTGTGACAGTGGTAGTTCTGTTTTCAAGGGTGTGAACTCTATAATATAAGCTCCCACCCTCTTTGTGGCTTATGGCTTTTGCCTTGAGATCTACTTTAATTACAATTAACGTTTATTGACAGGAGAGGGTTACCCAATAAACAAGGTAAACTCGGGCTTACTTGGGCTTACTTACTAATCTATAGTGAACGGTTTCACTACATTACCTTCCTTACTGGGCAATCCCACAGTGTTTACCGGGCATTCATTGTGGCCCACACTCGGTGCTTACAGCCTCACACATATCACTTTATTTCGTTATCAGAACAACACTAGGAGTAGACAGGTGTGGATCTGGGTTCTGCGGACCTTGGAATGTATACAACATTGAGGGCCTTCTTAGGGGGAAAGACACAAAATGAGGTTCGAAGATGAATATTTATTTATGTAGAATGAGAAAATAATCATAACAAACAGTTCTCTTCTGACATTTAGGAGAAATGCTTCCTGATTACAACCTTCCCACTTGAAGACTACAAATCCCAGCAGCCCCTGCAAATGAGCTCAAACGCTATAGCTTCCCGGTAAATCCACCTCGGGAGGTAGGTGTCGTCATTGGCTTCCCACCCAAAGCGACTGTAAGGCCGAGTAGAACTAGGCTGTAATGTTGCCGGGACAGGAAGGCCGTGTCTTTTCTCTCAAGGAGCCGCTGATGGGTTAAGCCGCCGAACTTTGGTTAGCAGCCCAGCCCTTGCGCCACCAGGACGCCTTAGGGATCATAAACTCCCATTTTCATAGGCAAAAGAGAACAGGAGACTTAGGTGGAGTAATCGCTCAAGATGGCAGACTCGGAATGTGGAGGTTACGCAGAGGTCTCGCCTCCAGCCCACCTCGCCTCTGTCATCGGGAGAGCACGGTCTTGAGGAGGATGGTGTGAGGGAGGAGCTAGAAGCAGAGGAGGGCCAGAGAAAACCGCAGTAAAACCCCTGAAGAGGTGAACGGTGCAATGTCCCACAGCCCGAGTGAAGGGATGCGCCTTAGGCAGGAGGGGAGCGAACGCGTAAGGGGAACAGGTGGATGAGACAGGAAGCTGAGCGAGTGAGCCAGAGCCCAGGTACTTCTTTGCAGAATTTACTGGACCCAAGCACGCCCCGGGCGTGGTACTAGGTTCCCGCGGCTCGGGCGAGCGACTGCTCTTCGCAGAGCTCACGGGCCAGCATGAATGTCCCGGCCAACGCGATCAGGGGCACACGCGACAGAGGCCACCCGCGTCTGCCCAGCGACTGGAAGGGCTGAAGTAGCTCAGGGGAGAAGAGGCGGCGGCGGCCCGAGCCCTGCGGCCGCACGCACACCCGGAAGTGGGGCCGCCGAGCCGGCCTCCTTCTCAGCCAATGGACGCGTGATGCGCCGACCCACAGTATCCCACACGGCCCTTGAGGGAAAAAAGTGGACGGCCTAAGAGGCGTGAGAAGGGGCCAACCTTCTCCATTATTCTTCGAGTTCCCAAGGCAGTGCAGTCAGGGACAAGCACCTTTTCCGCTTCTCTCCCTCCGATTAACCTAGCTCAGTGTCGCCACGCCCCCGGCCTCAGGCCCACGTCACGCACCACTGCTGCCCTCAGTAAAGATGGCGGCGCGGCGCGAATGAAAAGCCAGAAGTAGGCGGGCTCGGGAGGAGCCCGCGGAGGCGGGGCGGGGGCGTGGCCGGCCGACGGGGCGTAACCTACAGCCTGGAGCAGCGTCTGCGAGCCTTGGGGTAGCCTCCTGCAGGCGGCGGCACCACAGTCGCTGCCCCTGCCCAGGTCTGTCCCTTTAGAGGGTGTCCGCTGAGTGTCGGAGACTTCGCCCGGTTTCACTGAGACATTCTTGTGCCTCCCCGGTTGCGGGCGAGCGGAAATGGAGAAACCTCTGGAGTCTAGCTCCCCGGTTCCCGGGCCCGAAGAGGACGCTAGGAACCCCGAGGGGTCGCTTCCCCACGTGTCGGAGGGCTGCGCCCGGCCCTTGCAGGCGACCCCGAAGAAACTCTGTGGGTATCTGAGTAAGTTTGGCGGTAAAGGACCCATCCGGGGCTGGAAGACCCGCTGGTTCTTCTACGACGAGAGGAAATGTCAGCTGTATTACTCGCGGACGGCGCAGGACGCCAACCCCTTGGACAGCATCGACCTCTCCAGTGCGGTGTTTGACTGCAAGGCGGACGCTGCGGAGGGGACGTTCGAGATCAAGACTTCCAGCCGGGTGATTACCCTCAAGGTTAGTGGGATGGTTCTCGGCCGGGGTTGGCTCCCGGGGCACGCCGGGCACGGTGTGTGGTCACAGTCAGCGGACCCCAGCATTGTCACGCAGCGTGGCCACAGCTTTGTGCTTTACTGAGCTCGTTTACACCCCTTCTCTTATTGGATTCCCGTAACACCTTGATGACACGGGCAAGGCAGGAATGATGGACCCATTTTACAGATCAGGAAACTGAGTCTGGAAGCAGGGCCGTGCACCCAGAGAGGTGTAACCACACTTGGAACCAGGAGTCTTTTGGTTCCTGTCCTCTTGGGATGGGAGTTCTGGTGGCATGGTGCCTAAGGCACTGGACTGCTAACCAAGAGGCTGGCGGTTCAAACCCACCAGCCACTTCTCAGAAACAAGGTTGGGCAATCTACTTCCATAGAGATACCACTTCCGTAGAGATACCGCCTGGGAAACCCAAGGAGGGGTCTCTATGAGTCGAATCCGACTCAAGGGCAGTGAGGTTTTTTTTTTTTGTTTGAGTGTTGAAATCGTGTGCTGTATCAAACCTTTTACTTTTGGGTCTCACAGTGCAGTTACTTTGAACTTTCTTAGTGGGGTCTGAAGTGTAGTCTAGATAGGGTCTCCATCAGAGACAGGATTCCCATTGCTTTTTCTTGGCATTTTGGCCGGAAGGAGTTAATGCTGGGAAATGCTGGCAGATAGGGACGATAGGTGCTTAGGCTTCACTGATGAGGCCAGGTTTTTCATCACGGCCTGTCTACACCCATCCATAGGAAATAGGTTTTGTTTTAGCCTCATGTTTAAATGAGAAAGATGGAAGCTGTGGAAAGGCCCTGTGCTTTGAAAGCAGACAGGCTTGGGTGCAGATTCTGTATCTGCTACTTTACTAGCTGTGTGACCCTGAGCAAGTTACTTAACCTCTCAAAATCTAGGTAGCTGATGAGATTTAAAACAAGGCACCCGAATGGCTGGCACGTCCCAGGTACTGACGAATTGTGGGATGAATCCCAGCACCTGACATATACTTGGGGCCCAATAAATGTTTGTTGAATGAGAACACAGGTACCAGGGTGGTGGGACCACGGTCAGACTGTCATGTGAGGAGGAGCTGCCCATAACTAAATTGTAAAGACAGATGCTGGCTAAGAGTTCTGTGGGCATCAGGGAAGAGAGTGGCCATCCCCTCCCTCTTCCCACGCTTCCACCTCCACTTCCAGCCCACTTGGCAGCTCTTGAGGCCCCTGGATGTAGCCCACAGGTTCAGTTCTCCTTTACTGAATGGGCCTGGCTCATGACCCAAGTTGGGCTCTGTTAAAGCAATGGAAATCAGGAATTCCGGTCCTGGGAAGGCATTTTAGAAGTGATGTGGTCCACAGCCCCCTCCTTCCACAGGTTGAATGGTGTCTATGGGGTCTCCAACACATAGTTTCTGCTATCCCATTGATCTGTGTGTATGCCTAGCTTGGTGGTGCCATTGGGGTGTGGAGATAATCAGGACTATCCCCTGGCATTCAAACAGCTTCAAGGCTGGTGGGAGAAGCTGATGTGGAAACTGATACACACAGTAAAATGCTAGCGATATGAGAAAAATGTGACGACAGGAGGAGCCATTCTGCTGGATGGAGGGGCTGTCCAGGAAAGGCATCATGGAGGAGCGAACACCTGGGGCCAGAGAGGAGAAGTATGTTTTCACTAACAGATGGTAGGAAGAAGGGCATTCCAGGCCAGGAGAGCCCCAGGAGCAAAGGTAGGAAAACATGATCCAGTCTGGTGGACAAAGGTGTCCAAACGACGGGCTTGGAAAGTGGAGGCCCAAGGACAGGACATGTGTGAATTGGGCAAAGGAACTTGGACTTTGTCAAGCAGACTGTGGGAACTTGTCAGAAGCTTTAAGCAAGGGAGGATCATGAGATTAACATGCTGAGAAGCTCAGTCTGGCTGTCGGGTAGAGACCACGTGAGGACAGGGTGAGCCTGGTGGTGAGAGTTCATCAGGAGGTGATACAGAGAGAATGGTAGCTGAGCGAGGGCAGTGACAGGCTGGCAGGACAGAGAGAATGGTAGCTGAGCAAGGACAGGGGTGGGTTGGTGGGAGGTGGCTTGTGAAGAGAAGAGGTAGACTATAATGCGGAGTTAGAGAGGGCTGGGTGGCTGGTTGAGAAGTCCATGGGACATCCACGTTTATGTCCCCCTCAATAGACTTTTAAGTCCTAAGAGGACAGGGACCACATATGTTGGCTCCCCCGCTGTCCCCAGTCCGTAGCACAGTCCCTGACACATAGTAGGTGCTCAACATAGAGTCATCACATCACTTAATAAAATAGTGTATTTGGGCTTGAGCTGGAACTTGTCTGCGTGAAGGTTATGGTGAACTCATGGGAGGGGCTGAGGTCTCTCAGGGACAGTGTGTAGAGAGAAGTCAGGTGGTCATCCCCTGTCTTATTTCATCCCTCCATGACAGGCTGGCCCTGGCCCATGTGCACACCTCACGTGTAGGCCTCTTGAGAGGAGGAGCTTGCCCCAGCTGCTAGGCACCTACCGCTGGTCTCATGTGCTCCTGATACATGAGTGGTTCTGGGAGACTCACCATTCTGTCTCCACCAGCTGCCCATCCTCTGCAGCCCATCTCAACCAATCTCACGCTATGCCATGAATTACTCAGTACTGCTTTCTGTAGCCATAGTCTTTGTAACTCCCATTGGATTGCTGGGTGGGACCATGCAAATAAGGTGTGTAGAACGCTGATGTTGGGATTGGTTAGTTTTGTCACTCTGCCAGGCTTAAAATGAGCTCTGGTGGCATAGTGCCTAAGGCATTTGACTGCTAACCAGAAGGTTGGCGGTTCAAACCCACCAGCCACTCCTCAGAAGGAAGATTGGGCGATCTACTTCGGTAGTGATACCGCCTCAGAAACCGAAGGAGGGGTGGCTATGAGTCGGATCCAACTTGAGGGCAATGAGTTTGGTTTTTTGGTTAGAGGCAGAGAGGGGATCTCACTGCCATCAAGAGAGAAGAGCTAGAGGTGAAGTAGAGCATGTCCTTGGACCTGAGATCCCTGCACTGGGCCTCCTTGGCAGAGATGCCTGGCAGAGAGACACCCGGCAGAGAGATGCCCGGCTGAGAGATGGTGGCAGTGGAGCCAAGAGCAGGGACAGGACCGAGCAGGCAAAGCTCACGACCAGCACCGGGTCCTGACCTATTAGAGCCCGGCTGCTGGAAGGCGCCACATTGTTGGCATGGTGCCTGCAGCCCTCCTGTGTGCATGTGGCTTTGCAGTCCCCATTCATACCCATGGCTTCAGTGCCTCAGCCCCGGGAGAGTGATGGCACCCAGGCCCCATCCAGGTCAGAATTCCAAAGTCCTTTCCTGTCTCCCAGCGCCTCCCAGTTCCCTCGTGCAATGAGCACAGTTGGAGCACCCACTGTATGTCAGGTGCTGTCCAGGGCCCGTTACTTCCTTTAGCCTGGATCATCCTCATAGATGGTACTTTACCCAGTAATCACCCTGTGAAGTGAGTCTCATTGTCAGTATAGTACAGAGGAAGAAACTGAGGTCTGGAGGTAAGGGGTTAAAGGACCTCCAGGTGGGGATGAGAGCCTCCACTGTCTTCTGTGGCCAGGAAGTGTGTGGTGTTGCAGGGACGGACACCCAACTAACCACCCTGCAGCCATTGTTTTCCCCTTGGAAAGGGGAGTTAGCAAGCATCCCCTGACACTCCCTGCATTTCCCAGCACAGGACCCAGAAAGCACCCAGCAGCCCCAGGGGTGCCCTGCTTTCCCGGGCACGGGCTCTTGCCGACTAACTCTTGTGCTTCTCAGGCTGCCACCAAGCAAGCGATGCTGTACTGGCTGCAGCAGCTGCAGATGAAGCGCTGGGAGTTCCACACCCATCCGCCGGCACCTCCCACCGCTGCCGACGCTGCCCCGCCTGGGAACGGGCCCACCCTGCGCATCGAGCTAGGTACCCGTGGCTCGCCTCCTGCCCACACACGGGGCTCCCTAACAACGGGAATGAGCGGGAGGATCCCTTGGCTAAAGCAGCAGAGCCCAGACATGGTTCAGGATTCGTTAGCCAGCTGTACTGAGAGAAGAGTATGGGCTCCAAGGCCAAGCTGCCTGGGTTTGAATCTTAGTCCTGTGTGATCGTGGCAAGGTGCTCTACCTTGCTGATCTTCGGTTTTCTTCCCTGTAGAAAGGAGTTAATGAATTATACCTACTTCTCAGGGTTGTTGAGAGGATTCAGTGAAGCACGTACACAGAGCGGCTAGAGCAGTGCCGACACACAGTCAGAGCTCAGTAAATGTTAGCTACTATACGATGACCATTACAGGACGGTCCCAGGAAATGAGGCCTCTGCGGGGTTGCTGGGAGGAAGCTAATGGGAAACTGCAGTTGTGCTTGCTTCTAACTCAAACGCTCACGCACGGTGAGTTGGGTAGCTCAGTGGTTTCCTCCCTGGTAGTCCCAGAAAGCAGAACCCACTCCCTTCCACATGCCCCACAAAGGCAGTGGCTTGATACAAATCTGAGGACTGTCTAGCGTGAGGGAGCCTGGAAGATCACCCTCCTGCCCCCAGGAATGTGATTGGCAGGTTTTAGAAAGGAGACAGACCTGCCCCCAGAGCTGCCTCAGCGAGAACCTGGAAAATGAAGCCCGGCACAGAGCTTGCTGAAATGGAAACCTGGTCCTGCCCCTGCCCACCACCCGGGCATCAAGCCCCAGCTCCTCAGTGCAGCACCGGGGCCCGTCCCTCCCCATCTGACCTGCCTGCTGCCCCAGTGCCGGCCTATACCTTATGCTCCCGAGGGCCAGGTGATTCCCTGCTCCTTCATTTCTTGCCTGGCAAACGCCGGCAAATTCTTCCTGGCCAAGCTCCGGCGGTGCTTCCTCTCGGAAGCCTTGTGGAACTTTGCCAGTCGAGCTGCACTCCAGGGGCCAGCACTTGGTTCAGATACCTCTGACACATTGGCCTATCACGTGTGTTCTGATGACCGGCATCTTCCCGAGTGTCTGCCCACAGAGTTGTAACCACTGTGCCATCAGACCTCCTTGTTCAGTGATACTGTCCTGGTGATGTCCGTGTTAAGTGTGTGTGTGTATATGTACGAATATGCCCCGTAGGGTCACTATGAGGAGCTCTGGTAGCATAGTGGCTAAGGCACTTGACTGCTAACCAGAAGGCTGGTGGTTCAAACCTACCAGTCACTCCTCGGAAGGAAGGTTGGGCATTCCTACTTCCGTAGTGATACTGCCTCGGAAACCCAAGGAGGGGTCGCTATGAGTTGGGGCCGACTCGATGGCAAACAATAACAACAACAACAGGGTCACTATGAGTTGAAATCGACTCAACAACAGTGTGTATATACAATTACTATTACAAAACCGTTCTTTTTTATTGTTAATATGATCATAAATTTATTCGGGAAACTTCTAGGTGTTTTGTACTTAAGAGCTTTCTCTGGGGAAAGAGTTTTGGTTTTTAATTGTGATTTGGGTGAAAGTTTACAAAGCAAATTCATTTTCCATACAACAGTTCATACCCATTTTGTTTCAAGGCATTGATTGCAATCCCCATGATGTAACAGTTCTCTTCCCACTTCCTCCCTGTGGTTACCTTTTCCTTGTGTCCTTCTGTCCTATGCATTCCTGCCCTCTGAGCTGTCTCCCTGTGCCACTACTGCCCTTCTGGTCTCCCATGATTGATTGTTCTAAGGCTTGTACCTACCTGCTGTACATGTTCACCTTCTATGCCTATCTATCGATTGGCTGGAAGCCACAAGAGTGAGTTCAGTTCCAGCCCCAGAGGGTTACTAGGTGCCAGAGTCTCCGGGGTTTCACTCTGTCAGCCTGGTGTTTGTTATGATTTTGAGTTTTGTTCCACATTGTTCTCCCACTGTATCCAGGATCTCCTGCACTGACCCCTTTCTGAGGGGTTGACAGTGGTAGCTGGGCACCATCTAGCTCTTCTGATCTCAGGGTCATGTAGGCTGAAGTTTGCATGGTCCACTAGTCCCTTGGACTAATTGTTTCCAGGTGTCTTTGGTTTTCTTCATTCTTCTTTGCATTGTTTCCTGGTGTCTTTGGTTTTCTTCATTCTTCTTTGCTCCAGACGAGGAGAGACCCGTCATTGCACCTTAGATGGCCACTTGCGAGCTTTTGTGACCTCAGGGAGAGGGTTTGCATTTTGCTTCTGAACTTCTACACCATCGGCCCCTTCCCCATCTGCCAGGGAGTGGACCACCCTGCCACACAGAAGATTGCTGCCTGTGTTGACGTAATTGCTGGGGTCCATCTCAGACTCGAAGCATCACAAACCCTTGAACTGAACTGTGAGGAACCAGGTTATCAGAAGTGTAGCTAGGGCTCCGCAGGCCTCTTGCTGTGGTGAATCTTTTCCAGGTCCTTCCGTTCTGTGGCTTTGGTCCAACACATGCAGCCAGGCCACTTTTGGGCCACCCTGTGGGGCAAGGAGGGTGTGTGGTGTGATGACCAGGGCACTCTGGCGTAGACTCGGGAAGCAGGGACGCTGTTAAGCCATCCAGCAGCAAGCCTCCACCATCTGCACCCCGGGCCTGCGCAGAATCTTCCCCAGCCCACTCAGACATTTCCGGAGTCTTGAGCAAGCCTGCAGGCCCGGATTAGCTCAGCTGGGACAGGCTGCCCCACCTCTCCAGTCTCCACCCTTCCTGGGAAGCAGTGGGGCCAGCCCCTTCAGCTGTGGAAACCTCCTGACCTGTGCCTGACCTTGAGTCACATCTTGTAAAAAGTGGTGGTCACTGCCCTTAAGGAATGCGCAAGGCATTTTCTCTGTAGCCTTTAAGCATTTACAGTTTTATTTTGTCCTTTAAACATTGGTCTCCACGAGAGCTAAGAAAGATCAAGGGGAAACCAGGCCATCAAGGGAAAAGATTTATAGTAATAATGACATGTTTGCAAAGTAGGACAGTTTACAAAGGACTTTATACATGTTTATCCTCACAAAAATACGGATACCAGTTACTAACGCTCTTCTGACAGTTCATACGTGTTACATTCCTTACTGTATTTTTACATATAATGCACCCGTGCAAATAAAGTGCACATGCCTGTAACACGCATAGGAAACGAACCTGCAAGGGGTTGCTCTGTTTGCAAAAACTACTTAATGCACGCTCGCTGTAAAGATCCAGTGGTCCTCACAGCAGTCTCACGAGGTAGTTATTCCCACTTTCCAGGAAAAGCAACATGCTCACAGAGACCAAGGGACCAGCAAGAAAAGGGCAGAGCTGCTATTTGAGTCCTCAGCTGCAGACTCGCAGCCCCTCCCCAACTCTCCCAAGCTAAGAAGGCAGTGGGCCCATCCAGGCCCTCTGGGGAGGCCGTGACCTCCTGCTCTGGCCCTTTGTCGTCCAGGAGAGGACATCTTCCTTGCAGGGATGGGGCAGCCCCTTTGTTGTTGTTGTTGTTGTTATTTGCTGTCGAGTCAGCCCCGACTCATAGCGACCCCTCCTTGGGTTTCCGAGGCAGTATCACTATGGAAGTAGGTTGCCCAACCTCAAACGGAGCATCCCAGTAAATGCTGCTGCGGAAAATCCTTTGTGTGGTCCCTCACTGAGGGCCTCTGTGAAGCTGGAGGGGCCCCAGAAACTCCCAGCCGAGTCCTGGGTCTTGGTCCTACTTCTGTCAGGAGGGCTGAACTCACTGTGGCGTCAGCATCATGTGCCGCCCATGCCTCGGACACCGCGTTATACCGGGATCTGCACTTTCCGGGGGCAGTCCCGCCTGGCTGCTGCTTAGAAAGTCTGCTGTGACAAGTACGGGACCTAGTGATAAGAGCAGAAGTGAGGCACGGCGTTGGGGTCCTGGCTCCGCCATCTGCCGGCTGTGTGACCTTTGTCACAAAACCCATGCTCCTCGACCTGCTGCTTCCTCATCGGCAAAGCACAACCGGTGGCGACACTTCCAAGACTTGGTTCTGTGTGGTGTCAAGTGGACCGTGGGCCATAGGTGAGCATTATAGGAAAACAGATATTGGCAGAGAAGAAAGTGGTAAGACATCAAATCTTAGATGATACTTGTTTTGTTTGTTCTAAATGGGGGAGAAGACAGAGGGTTAAATATTGATAAACAAGAACATCTTACACATTTCGACCGTGTGGCAGCCAGGCCGAGTCCTGGACCAGAAGCCACTGTGAAAGACACAAGGCCCTAGCTCGGGGTTCTCTTGTTTTCTAAACATTTTCACGCACCCTGTCTCCGTTAGTCCTTGCTCCAACTCTGAAAGAGAGCGCGGAGAGTAGCCTTCCTGTGGTAGTTGAGGCTGTGTGTCTGCTTGGCTGGGCTGTGGTTTTGAGCAGCTTGGCAGCTGGATGTAGTTACTCCCCCTGATAAGACTGTAATCAGCTTCAGGCGGAATCTGCCTTGAGCAGCTCATCAGTTCCCTTCAGGGAGTGGCCAGCTTCCAATTTACATGGGGAAGCTTTGAGCACGGTCTCTAGCTTTTTGGCCCATTTGAATTCTGCGTTTGGCCAAGTCCTTCTCTCCGCTCCTGGACTTGAATTAGTAGCCTGCCTGTTGCCTGCCCATCTTGGGGTTGTGCCATTTTAACTGCCGACTCTGGGTTCTCCAGCCTTAGTGGCCTGCAGCTCCTGTGGCCTTGGAATAGGAGGCAGAGCTAAAGCCAAAGTCGAGGGGTCTTCACCCAGCCCCTAGAGCCGTCACTCTGAATTTGCACTTCTCGCCTCCTAAGATGTAAGAGAATAAATTCCCGTTTGTTAAGTCATCCACTTGTGGTCTGTTACAGCAGCTCTAGAGAACCAAGACACCTCTCGTTTTAAAAATATGGGACCTGAGGCCGGAAGAGAAAAAAGTGATTTCCAACCAGGTTACAGAGCTCTGCCAGCAGAAACAGGGCTTGGCCTCAAGTCTTCTAAGGCCCAGGCTGTGGTCCTTTTTCAGTCGGCCAGGTTTCATACTTCGAGC